GATGGACTACTGTATTTTCAGCGCCATGAATTAAACCATATATATGGAGTACTCGTAGGGTAAGGCAGTGATGCAACACTTTCCATTATTCGGGATATACTTCGTACTCGATAGAAGAATGGCTCTATTCACGGTTCTGAAGATGCCGGGATTTGAGAAGACCTTTGCTATATTCCCAAATTGCGATCCCAACTGCAAGGGCTTATTCGAAGATTTCAGTCCGGGCCGGTGTCAGGTTTAACACTTGAATGATAGCAGCCCAAACACTAAGCCATGGCCTTGGTCTCCATCGCTGAGCCTCCTACTTGATATCTTCTCTCCAACATATAGGGAAATTTCTTGATTGGGTGGGACAAGGATGCCACTCTAGTGGCCTCATAGAGAACATCCATATCATCCATATTGAATAGACGCTACCAAGCGCTGTGGTGTACAAAGAATGTCACTATCTGCGGGGGCGTAATTCGATGAGCGTAGCCCAACGTTTCCAATTGGCTGGTATAGGACGGAGACGGAATGAGGTTATGTTTCACAGCATCATTCATCTCAAGGGGTATGACCAATGATCCACAGGTCTAGCAGTATGCGCTGCGTTGCAGGTAGCTGGCATACTGATACAGGTAGGCCGAGTTTCGACTGCAATGACCCAAGCTTCTAGAAAGCTTTAATGAAGGTATTGCAGGTGTTTCCAAGGATAGCACCCATAGCAGTGGTTTTCCCAACTCTCCACATAGGATTAATGCATCCTCGAAGCACTTGCCAGTTAGTATATGACTAAAGGGTCAGTGACTAGTAGGCGGTGCACTCATCGGATATGTTGACAGGGGTGAGAGTTTATCGGCCATGGTATCGAAACCCGAAGCATAACATATGTAGGATTCCGTAGAGTAATATCCTGATCCGGCGACCTTCAGCCATGTAAGATGTGATATCAAATGGCTGATATGAGTGGAACTAAGGCAATATCCAGACCACAATACCATACCTGCAGGTCAAAGCTGAGGTATGAAATTATGCAGGGAAAGTGTTACAGTCCTAGGCCGCGGAGAAATTCAGGCCAGTTGCAGTCGATCTCGTAACTAGACTGAAATGATATGCATCTGCGGCGGCCTTGTACATACATGTGCATATTCACCTGTCCATGTTTGGCATTGTAGGACACTATAGGCATTATCAGTATTATCATTTTGGAATGACAACCCGGCAGTTTGGGTGATCAGGCGCAGGTGGCTTGGATGCGATAACTAAGAAAATAAGAGCTATCAAGTTCTTCCTTGTCCCAGCAGATGTATGTTTGTTTGTCTTCAAGCCATCCTTGCCGCGGATTTGGGATTGAATGGGCCGCAATGCTGGAACAGCAGATCAGCTTTGCAGCTCTAACGCAGTGCAAGTTGCTTAGTTAAAGTAGGATAAGCTTTCTTGTCTCCGACTAGAATCCAGGACGTTTGTATGGTTCTGTTGGACATGATCTACCTGTCTCACGTAGGAAGCGCCCCAGGGGAACCTGCTAATATTGCATCTCCACAAAGGTAATGGTAGCTTGCACGTCTGTCAAATTCATCACGAGTTGATTCTGTTCCGGATATTATCTAGTTAATTTTTTTTTTTTTTTTTTTTTTTTTTTTTTTTTTTTTGGTGGCAGGATGGAGATGCTATCATCTATTATGACTGCCATACGGAGTACAATAAACCGCATATCCAGTTCAGAGAACCGAGTTATCGAAAGTCGAAAGGAATCCCAAGCCCCAGAGAATCTAGGGTCATTTCGAATTCGATAGTTAAGATATTCCTATACGGAGTACATCTGGTGGTCTTCTCAGCGGGCGTCTCAATGCCCAAAGAGTCGCAACGGCCGCGATGGGTGGGTGAAGCTCCGCCGTGAGGTTAACCCAGTCAGTCGTCAACTAGTTAGAGAGGCAGCTGTGCTATCTTGGATCCTTCAGTCAGAACTTAGGGGTTGGAGCAAAAGCCCCCATGGCCTGTTTTAGACTTGTTAGAAAGCTGCGTGCTGCTGGGCATGTAGAATGATTGAAAACTGGACGTGACAGCCAGCTAACTAATTAGTCGCTTGGTTAACTAGTTAACTGGTTAGTTAACTTCCGGGAGCTCCAGCGTCCCTAACAGGCCAGCCAAAGAACCTTGCGGCGATATATCAGAATGACATATTTCCGCGACCTGGTCAGACCAGGCGCCCTATCCAACGCGAATGGCGTTTTGCGACTCCACGTCGAGGGTGGACGGTTGATGGGAGGAGGTTGAATTAGAAACGAGGCTGTCTTGTCGCTAACTAGTTAGTTAACTAGTTCTAAGGGTGAATTGCCACTTTGGGACAGGTCGAAACCATCTTTGTCAGCAGCGCTGAAGCCAACCTCAACGTCGAGTCTTCTCAGCGCCTTCGATGGACAAACATTGGAATAACCGCAACACACACAAGACTCGACCGCGTTCTCCAGGGGATATGGCTAACCAAAACAAGTTGCCGCTGGCTCGTGGCCGCCGGGCTTCGTGGGTTGTACAGGACGGCCGAATAACTAACTTATCCTCCGGTTGCACGGGGATTTTTGTAACCCGTTAGTTATTATGACGAGTGTGAGGCAGGGAACAGGCATCTCGGTCTTGCACAAGGTCTCGCTGCTATGCGGCCGGCTTCTTCCATGACAAGTGGATGTTTTGGAACGCGGAGGATGGCGTACAGCTCGTTGCCGTATGACAATTGTTCTTACTGTGTCCCAGAACGTGGTCCTCATGTGCCCACTACAACAACTGCTTGGAGTGCATCAAGACTTTTGCTCCGGCATCAAACGTCATCGCCTGAGCTACTTCGCGTATCTTGAGACGCCTGGGCTCATCAAGTTGCTAAATATACCCCTTTACACAGGCAGTTTGCCACACTCATTCTTCGTACAGTATGTCCTCGGAGCCCTCCTGGTTTACGTCGTGACTGAAAACCACAATAATGGCGAGTGCTAAGGATAGGAGATAGCCCGATGCTACCCTGTCGGACCGATCTTCGGGCCAATTTTGTCCCACAGCGCTGCGTTTTTGAGCCGTGGATGATGTAACTTACATACTTACTTTTCCCGCTGTCACCAACGGGAGTGCAGCTGCCGCTTTACCTTAATATGATATCCAATTGTTCAAGCTGCCGTCTGTTATTATTGACTACAGAATAGCCAGACCAAGCAAATTGAATCTCTCTTTAAACTGCCTTTTGAATAATCCTCGGTGTTGAGATAACCAATGGAGAAGCTGGTCACTCCTGGTCCGTTATAACTCAGTTGTTGAGGTTCGTCGTCATCAGAAGCAGGCCTTCCTGCTTTGCCACTGAGCTCCTACCTGCAGTCTAGGCCTATGCCAATGCCGCTTCAGAGAGATATCTGGACCCGCGCTTAAATCGGAACTGAGAATGGAGCAAAAGCACAATTTTCCAAGTCTGTACGAGATGTCACTGATTATTTTACTTCCGATAATCAGCATCCTCTTCCTTCCACATCTTCGCTATTTGTGTTTCGTTGTATGGAGTAACTTAGGCAGGGAAAATGTACTAGTTGCTCGATAATCCCGCGACCGAGCCGCGACCGTTGTGCGTCCAAATGACTTGGGTGTTTCGCTAACTGTGTAATCAGCCTCGACAACATCAACATGTTAGAGCCGATATCCTTCGCTAACTTCGTTCGCTTGCTTGGCTAGCCTCCGGTTGCTAGTTATATATTCCGCTACTTACGTAGGCTCCACGCCTCCGTCTTCATCGCCCAGAGACTCAGCGCTTGGGCCTAGGGAAATATCGCGTTTTTGCGTCTTTTCTCGTGGCTTAATTTCTTTTTAGTTTCTTCGCATTTCTGACTGCCCAGGGACGCTTGCGACAGCTTGACCGTCCACTTACTTTCCTGGCGGGAAGGATGGTTCAATTATAATTGGACAGCGGTCTGACTTCGGGCTGGTGCCAACCGTTCTAATCTATCATTTTCGTCAACCAACAGTTTATCACTTGACGTTGGGAGAGTCAGCGAGTCTAGGGAGAACACGTCTCAGAAATAATGCCGTCGGATGAATACCCTGTACGTAATGAGAAAGGTTATGGCATAATGCAATTTATCCACGTCCATTAAGACATATAGTCGCTGAAGAGACGAGGTATTTCTCTCAGCCAGCTCGTGAGGTTTTATTTAGCTAGTTAAGGCTGATAATAACTCTTGAATAGTCACTAATTACACAATGCACTTGTTCTGCCGTAACTTGCTTTAGCATTTTTTATTATCATCACCTGGCATGAAGATAAAATTTCTCACTTCTCTGTGGAACAGTCTCGATACATATCAATACCCAGTCTAGTTGGCGCACTTGAGGCTTTTTCTCATCAAATCCTCCAAGCCCACCGTGCAGATTTCACAGAATATTGAAATAGTTGCAGAGTAACTCGTCTATCTTCTAATTATGCACACGCTGTCGCAGGATAGTGAGCTTCTGTTCCCAAATTCGAACTTTTATCAACTTGGTTACCAATCTGGGCACATAAAAGGAAACTGGCAGCGAGCTGAGGCATATATCTCACTGGGGGCTTGAGATTTTATAATCGAAAAATGTATATGTCTGCCCCTGCCACTTTTGAACGAGGTGAATTATTACAAGCCAGGGGGGGATATGTTCTGGGTATGTTATAAGACATTAGAAAGTGTACATATACGTTGAAAATCTCGTACTTATATATGATATTGATACTGATATGATACCGTCCAGGTTAACACCAAAAGAATACGCGTTTGGAAAAAGGAGGTGATAAGGAATAAAATTAGCGGCAGTGTGTATGTGATAGAAGCCGTTCAGAAAAGTAGCTATCTCCTGGAACATGTGACGAAGAGGTGTAATAATACAGGGACCAAAAGGAATATGAGTTCCAGGGAGGCTGATCGATAGTAGGTGTTAATGTATTAACATGGCATTTCTGAGAGTTCGCGGAATGCAAAATGTACTTTAACAATGGTGGTGGTCATATTGTTATATCAAGTGGATTTTCTAGGGGAACATTGGCTCTGGGACTCTGGCTGCCTGTGTTCAAATGAGATCGGATGAGTAGAGGTAGGCGGAGAGTAATTCAATATTCTAGGCTGGTGGTGATGTTGTGGCATTCCGTTAGTTGTCAATATTGTCTCCGCGGCCATGGATTTCATTGGAGCTGGGATAGGAGCATCCGGTGATGTCCTACCCATCAGCTTCGGGCTAGGTTGCAGTCTCTGCACAGGGGGGACAACTGGCTGAACACCAACTTCGCTTGAGGAAGCAGTTTGCGCGGGAGAGTGTTTTGTAGGACTAAGGCCAGACATAGGAATTCCAGGGGAGTAGCGATTTGATGGAGGCGTTTGGCTAAATGAAGCCTGATGATTGGTCGTGGCTGAAAAAGAGGTAGTTGGAGATTGGCTTGATGGATGATACTGTTGTCGCTGATGCTGTTGCTGTAGCCCCTGGTTCTGGTTCCGTTGCTGATGCTGATGCTGTTGCTGAGGGTGTTGCTGAATCTGGAATGAAGAATATGGAGAGTAGCCACTAGGATTACATTGGTATGTAGTACCTGAATATGTGCCGTTTGATCCAGGTGAGGGAGCACTACTGGTAGGAGCTGGTGCGGGGGCGGGTGGGAACCCGGCTAGCGGGCCGACATCTCCATTGCCCTGAGTTGGGGACATGGATGGCCGATTCTGGACAGGGGAGGGGAAGTTGCTTGGTATAGAGCCAGAAGAAGTTGGACGCTGGCTGCTGAAAGACGACATCATGTTTCTAGGGATTGAAGCTTGAGGTAGGGTGTGAACGGGAGCAGGCTGGTGTCCATAAGAGACGGCAGTATTTGACTGAGGAGCGGGAGGATATCCTGGTTGAGGGGAGCCGTTTTGAGCGTATATTGAGTGGGATGCAACAGGGGGGCGATTTGATGTAAATAGACGCGGTTCAATTGGGGCAGGCCGGAATTGCTGGGTCGAAGAAACATTCTGGTGGTTGGTAGGTTGTTGCTTGGTGAGAATGGATCCATTGCTCACCTGGGGCTCTTTTTTCGAAGGAGGTGAAGCTGATGACGTGATGCGGAACTTCAACGGTGGAATCTTGGGTCGTTTTGCTTCTTCAATGCGCCTCTGACAATCCTTGCATATGAAGTGGAAGTCGTCTTTCTCTGCCTCTTCCTGGGAAATACCAAGGCATTTGCTATGCTGCCAGACATTGCACTTGTCACATGCAACACTGTGAGACCCATCGTCCTAGAGGCAAACAGTTAGTGCGTGAAAAATCTTGGAAAGGAAAAAAGGGCATGGTTGGGTTCAGTTCAGATATATACATACCAGATTCTCTCCATGGATACCGCAACCAGAACAGTCGAATGTCCAATCTTCAACCTCGAGATTTTCCAAGCCTTTCTGTCGCTTTTCCAACTCAGCATTGAAATTGCGGCGTGATGACCTTGCTTCCCCTTCCTCAGCAAGCTTGGCCTTTTCAGTCAAACGAACCAGCTCTTCTTCCTGCTGTTTCCTCTTCTCCTCACGGTCTTTCAGACGCTGTTCACGAGTCATCAAGCGGTACTGCCGTTCTTTTTCAATCTTTTGAGCCTTTTCTTTGGCCTTTTGTTCGGCAATCCGCTCAGCTTCCTGTCTTTTAGCTTCTTCAGCTGCTTGTTGCTCCTGGCGTATCCTGTCTTGTTTGCTCGCAATTCTACTAGATCTTTTTGCAGTGGCTAGTTTTTCAAGGGCTATCAGTTCTTTTTCTCTACGAAGAGCTTTCTTTTGCTGTAGCTCTTCTACTTTTTCAATGACAGGCAAGACATCTTCGACGAGGCGCTCATAGAGCGCCTGTTCGTTTAAATCCTTGGACTTCTTTAACGAGTCAATAAATGTATTGTAGTCATTCAAGGTGATGGCAACACATTCCCACTCGTAGTCTCGACTACAATTCGATGGCACAGCATCAGCCTCATCCTCTTGGCCATCAGTTTCATCTGGGGTATCGGCAACTTTTCTTCGTTTCGATGAGCGGATGCCTGCTCTACGTTTCCTGCTAGTTGCTTTTCGTTTCACGGGTCTCTCCGGCGGAATCTGAGGTTCTATGCGACGGTATAGACGGTTATCATCAAGAACATAATATTGGTGTTCATCACGGTCGTATCCAATTTCATTAATTCTCTAAGAGACATCGGCATAGCGTTAGTTATCCAATCGAGAGTATTAAGCCATGGATGCGCGAAGCATACCCATTGTAATTGATCCGATTCTTTAACCTCTCCCATCCGCTCTCGAAACCGATCTGGATTCCAGAGGGTCCAAGCAGATAGCTGTTGTAGAACGCGTATTCTCTGGAAGATATCCAGCTGGTGAAACTTCAATGGGGACTCATCGTCTCCAAAAGGGTTGCGGAGGGGCGCTTTCGCAAGGTACTGCCGCCGTGTATACTCTTCAAAGTTATCGTAACTAAGGAAAGAGTATTGGGTTAGTAAGTGATAGACGGAGAGCGTTCGGGTAAGTTTCATACTTAAGACCACGGTGGGAGGAAACGAATTTGAGGAGATTCAGACCGATGTTGAGCAGTCTCTCTGAGTGTCCAGGTTTAAGGCACTCCGTCTCGAGTTCCTATGAAGAAATACTGATTAACATATCGAGCTTGGTTGTACTTCTTTTTTTGGTCCCTGGTAGACAACGGACTCCCCTATTGAGTAACAATGGAGCAACGATTTACGCTATCTGTCCATGGTACAGAGCTACTCAAAAGCCATGCATACCTCTATATCGATATCATCATCAAGTTTCATCGGCTTGCCAAATGTATATATGTACTGCATCAAGTTTGGAAACTCCCACATGTTGCGCAGCTGATGAAGGAGGCCATGTTCCTGGGGCTCTGGGGCGCTTTGAGCCTCGGTTTCCTCTCTGGCACGCTTACGCGACACCATGGTGGGCTCTGTGTCGGCGGTGTGCGTCCGGTTCACTCTGCAAGTCGCGATGGAGTATGCGATGCGATACGACCCGGGGTGTCTGGGCTTCGTTGTAATATGGATGTCACTAGTTAGTGCTGGGATCGAGCAAACAGCGGATCTCACGTCACGCCGGGGCCTTTTAACTGTTTCTCTATTATCATAGGAGGAAAGACGTGTCTAAAGATACAACAGGAGATACTGCGAAGATGTAGAAGGCGAAGAGTCGAAACTTGCAATCGAAAAACTGTCGCGAGCGTCTCAGAATAAAAAAAAGCCGATCCTTGATTTTGCGGCGAAAAAGAAGAAAAAGACGCGTTGAACACGTGATGTTTATGTAATGATGACGTAAGATGAAGAGGACGACAAAGGCAAAGATGGTGACGATGAGTATCAAGGGGGTAGCAGTGTAGACCAGGAGGTTCTAGTATAGTGATGACAGAAACGGGGATATCCAGGGGATTGCGGGTGACGATAAGAATGCACAGAGAAGCAGGGTAAATAATACAGTAGATGATGACAGTGGCCTGCTGCTTGGATGTTGCGCTCGGGAGGCGAGTTGAAGATAACAATAATGCGAACAAACAAGGTTTCAAGTGGGTGAAATCAAATACGAAAAGGGGGATGGGGGGGGTCATGCTCTTCTAATCCATGGTATCGTGACAGTGAGAAGACAAAAAATGGGCTTGCATGAAAAGAGAACGGGAGAGATAAAAAAAAACATATCCCGACCTTCCCTCGCTCCAAGGACCAGAAAGGACAACATCGTGAACATGGGGAAAAATACAGAGGGAGTGGTAAGTAATAGATACAAATACCCTCATTGAATGATCGCCGCCCCTTTTTACCTTTCCACAACACTCGCACGCCAGAAACAACCAGAAGGGGATGGAAAAAAAAAATTTATAAAAATGCGTTGAAAGAAGTAGAAGCAGTGTGGGCCTCAGGAGGGATATCCAAATAGATAGCAAGAAATTTGTGGGCATGAAAGCGGACCGGGAGAGGTAGGGTATGTAGGTAGGGAAAGAGGGAAAGAGGATGGGGTTAAGAAGTCATATACACACATTGACAAGAAATAAGAAAGGAATTTGATGATGAAACAAACCCTGAGGTAAAAATGGTATGGTACCTAGTATTCTTTTCTTTCCCCTTTTTCTCGTTTCTCCTTTTCATCATTTCCCAGGATTTCATTCTTTTTCTTTCCTCCTATGCCCACTTGGTCTGGGGCTCCGAGGAATTGCATGATTAGGCGATTAAATGAAGGCACTATTTAGTGTATATCCGGCATTAATCGGATTAATCGGTGAGTTTTTTTTTTTTTTTCCTTTATATCGCTTGTTCGCAAAGTCTCACATTCCGGAGCCAGCATTGGAGCCATCGACGACGTTGTCAGACAGGTTTATGAGGAGCTGGGCAAGGCACCGTTTAGTAGCAGCATCATCGCGAAGAACAGACGAGAAAGTAGCATCGCGAAGGGGCTCTGGTAAGCATTGACGAAGTGCTTCACGGGCACGGTTATTGTCGCTAAGTCTGATATCAAATTGTTAGCGGGTGTCCTTACCGGAAAGGTCTATGAAAGCTTACCGTAAGAAGCAGCGGACGACATGTTTAAGTAGCCGAACAGTTTGCTGCTCCACAAGCTGGGTGACCATGTTGCTAAGGACTGTCCCAACAGCATAGAATCGTTCATATGTCGCACAAATATAAGCTAGACCAATGTCATCGAGTAGAATCTTTTGAACGATGAATATGGCCACGGTCTTGCTAAGTTCTGACCCGGTCTCCATTATTCGAAGACATAAAGGGATGATTTCGGTAGTTAGCAGGAAGTTGATGACATCAGACGAGTCATTTTTGACCAAAGCGCCGATAACGCCGAGTGACGTGAGACGGAGGTATTCAAACGGACGAGACTTGGAGGTTGTGTTTAAAAAGGGATAGAGGAATAACGGTATATGAGCTAGACAGCAGCATTAGCCGGCTTAATTATCTTTGACCCTGTTGGTGGAAAGCGCATATATACCATTGAGAAATAGGGTTCGGGTCTCATTATGGGATGCCACACATTGCAGCAGGGCTAGGGCATTGCATACTCGATTCGAAGCAGCGGCAGTCAGCTGAGACGGGTTCAATAGTGGGTAAACAGAGATAATCTCTTGCAGAAGAGATGTCATGACTCCTTGGAAGTACGTTAGCATGTAATATATCGCACAGTACGGTTGTACTCGGGGGTGACGGATGAAGGGGTATTCCCTACCAAATGAATGCCAGATAATAAGTGCAAGTTCTGGCACCTGTTCTCGCTTCTTACTCAGTTCCATGAGCGCCGACTCTCTCCGGTTGGGGTCCAGCAGCTCGGCGACCCAGACGAGAACCTTCCTGTTTTCCTCGCTCACGCCACTATCAATGTTTCCTGCGATTCCGTTGCCGTTGTCCTGACCGCCAGGAGTCTGTGAGTTGCTATTGACACCACCCGTCATACCGATACGGCTATAGTGCTGCTGCTGCTGCTGGTGTTGGGCAGCTGCGGCAGCGGCAGCGGCCTGAGCCTGGGCCTGGGCATGTTGCTGCGCGGCGAGAGACGGGTGCTGCTGTGGCTGTTGCGATTGGAAATGAGACTGGTGCTGTTGCTGCTGGTGTTGCTGGTGTTGCTGATGTTGTTGGGCCCATGAGGAGTCGGCCTGGGGATATTGGTGCTGATGCGAGAAGACGTGCGGAGCTTGACTCTGCAGCATGGCGAGAGACGGGGATCAAGGGATTCACTCTAGGGAACTTCCCCAAAAGCGAATCTTCCTGGAACAGGGCTTCAAGCAAGGTGTGAATCTAGACACAGGGGGATAACTGCCGAGCGTACGATAGCTATGCGAGATCAGAGAGCAAAGACGTGCGTCCTCATAAGGGAGAAATTGGAAGCCGAAGTTGAGGTTGGAGGTTGCGAGGAAGAAAAGGCGGGTGGGGATTCGCTGATTTGCTGACTAAGACATTTTATTCACTATAAAAAGTTTCTCGTACGGAGCCATTACTTATAATTCAGAACATGAAGACAGGAAAAGAAGAGGCATATACATCGTTTAATCAACAACCAACCTAACGAGACCTGACGAGGAGTCTGTCTCCTATTATGTACCAGAAACACCAGATTTTAACATAACCCCAGCCATATCCACAAAGAAAAACTGGAAGGAAAAAGCCAGACGTGCAGCCATAAAATATTCGCATAACGGACATGGACATGGACATCGAGATCGTGTGGGAAACATTAATTGAGAAAGACGGGGCGAAGGAAAGTAAAAAGATTTCAATAGCTCGTTAAGACCGCTCTGTCCGCCGGCCGGAAGAACTGCTGCTGCTGCTGCTGCTTGAGGTGTAAGTATAGGACGAGCCGGTGTAGTAGGTGGTTGACTTGTCGTCTTTTTTTCGACGGAGACCGAGACAGAGAGCAATAGCGCCGATGACGACACCCAAGCTGGCCAGTCCCATGAGGCCGGTCTTCTTCTTGTGCTTCTCTGAGCTGACTCTTGATCCACCGCCGCCAAACCAGCCGTGGTGGGAAGAGTAGGACGATGACCCGGTGTAATTTGAGTGTCTGGCTGGTCTGCGGCCGCCGAGGCCAAAGATGGCCCGTACCCGGTCGACACAGCTTCCCACGCAGCAGCAGATGCAGATGAAGATGAGTATCAGAGCACCAGCAATAGATCCGATGACGATACCGGCAATCGCTCCGCCACTCAGGCCACCACTGCCCTTGGTGATACCGATAACGCTGCTGCCATCAGTGCCCACGGCGGGAATGAATGGGACGGTAGTGGTAGCCGGAATAGTAGTGATCGTGACACCCTTGGTGCTAGTAGGTCGAGTTGGAGGAGTGGGAGCTGGTTCAGCTGTTGGGAACGGCGAGCCGCCTGCTTGAACACATACGAGGTCCTTGTTGCATGATTGAGCAGCCGAACAGCAACGGCTGCCGCATTCCGTCTCTCCTAATTCGGCCTTGCATTGTGGCTGGCCTGTCGGCTGGGAGATGGGTCGACTGCCGGTAGAGGTGACCGTGACAAAGTCAGTTTGGACGTAGGTCGTGGTGAAGTATTCCCATTGAGTGTTGCCCGCCTTCTTGGGCTGACACAGGGCTTGGTTATTCGAGTCGGTTATGCATTCTTCACCAGAAGTGCAGCAAGCTTGTCCGTAGTAGCCGCATGGGCTACACTCTCGGGCCGCCAGCGAGTTGGTCGGCGAAGGAGTAGAGAAGGGCGACCCAGCGACGAGCCGGAGTTGTAGAAAGAGAGCGAGAATGGGCGCCGAAGCTCTGCCGATAGTCTTTGCCAACATCGCCGGCGCTGCTGGTATACTTCGTTTCTGCTTCTGCAGGCTGGTAACTGTGCTGCCAGCGAGAGCCTCAAGCGGGGACGGCTTTGGGGTAAACAATCAAGGTATTCTCGCAAATCTGCCTGTCAGACGTCTAGGTGGCTGGCAGCTCTGGAGAAGGAGGAGAGCGATTGCTATATGATATGTGAGTATCAATGAATGAGCGAACAAAGGTGAGAGAGAAAGAAGAAAAGATATCAAGCTGGAGAAGACTCGAGGCTTGCTGGTTGGTCTTTGTAGATGTGCCGTCGCTCTGCCAGCCATCTTCTTTTGCGGGCATCCCAGCCACGCCCAACCACCCGAATTATGCTATTCGGCTGCATCCTGGTCCCGCCCCAGGCCAGGGAGCTCTCTTGATTTCGTGGCTTTCTTTGCAGAGGGTCAGTTTGGAAGACGGTAGGTGTTCCAGACGCCTGAACTGCGTCCGCAGGGCCGCGAAGACGCTCGTCGCTGTTGGTGGTTGCAGCGGTCGTCATAGGCATTATTCTCAGCATAGTTATCAGCCGCTCAACATCCCGGCCAGCGACAGCGATGCCGTGTCCTGGGCTGTTCTTTTCGGCCCATCACAGCCTCAGACCGACTCTTTGCTGCTTCAGCTCGGCTGCTTACTTGCGATCATCGCCGCTGATGATGCTGTTTATCTATTTTCATCTCGTCGTCGTTCTCTATGCGTCGTTGCCGACTGAAGTCACGTGAACAGGTAACTACCTAATATTAAATTTTGTTGATTTTTTATAGCCGACGTTGACATACAATGCGAAGGGCATGAAAGGGAAGAGGAGAGGAGGAGGAGGAGGCAGAAGAAGAAAACGCCATGCTAGTATCAGGTCATCCTGTCGGTGTGATTCGCTGCGTCCTCCATCTTCGCGGCCATACAACTATATTCCCTCCAGGACAATCAAGTAGTCCTGGGTAAACCCCTTGCTCTACCCATCGCTCATAAAAGGCTGGCAAGGAGAGGCCTTGTCAAGGGGTGTCTAAACAAATGGTATAGACAATGAATCTATACTAAGTGTTAGACGCTGTTCCTCGGTTAACTCCAATTTTCTCTTATACCTGCGTGGGACGTCTTCACCTTGAAACCAAATACCCTCTACCCATCTGCTCCTCTCTATCTTACAAGCAGGTCAAGGAAGAGATCTGCCCTCATGTATACATTAGCGCTTCCGATCAACCTGGATTCTGCATATGGCCACCGACACTACGCTAGGAACATTTCTTAGGCTGCCCTCGGTGAAGTCTACTTCCAGCTTGAGGCTCCGAACATGCTTCTTCCTTAGAGCCGTGAAAGAGCAGCGAGTGTCAAGCAGTGAATGCCACCCCGTGACTGGGCGCTGTCTCTCAATTACACAACCATTGCATGACTATTGCACTTTGAGGCCCTTCTCATTCGAGAGAGGGAGAGAAGCTAAGCACCTCGCTTGTAGGGCTTCAGGGCCCAGAAGATGTCATAAATATACATGAATTATTATGATTCCTAGGACAGGAACTCTCAAAATACATAGTCTGATGCCTTGTATTAATATTGTTGGCCTCATCTCGGTTTCGAATTGAACTTCAACCATCGTGAGCCCAGAAAGAATGGATTATATCTCCTTCTGTTGTACTGCAATTTTCTTTTGCAAAACATGCATGGAGCCATGGCCATCTGGTACCGTCTCTGACTACCTGCAGCGTTTGGGGCAAACGCAGGTGCAGTCGAATAGCCTTGGTCCAGGGTCTGATGAAAGCACTTCGACATCGGGTAAGCTTCTAAGCTCATTCCCATGATCAGGAAATCGGGCCCTAACCGAACACCGCTACCAAGGGAAATGCGACAATATCTAGATGATGATCTATTTGTATGATTTCCTACCCACTATTTGACCTTGGGAAAACCGTGGCTGTGATGAATTTGCACCGGTGTGGATGGGATATCAGCATCGCATAAGGAGCAAGCCTATATCGTCGGGCCACGTTCATATAAACCCTGGTGTGTTTGATATGTTTCTGCTCTCCACGGGGCAACTCCTATGGCTCGCATATACTTTCAGTAATTTTCCCAGGCGAACAAAGCAATAAGCGAGGCTTTAACTAGTTACTGGAGTAGGCCCCGTGCTTGGCCGTGATATTCAGCCAGACGAGAGTACTCTCCTTTCATCAAGTCGTACCTCCTATAATATCCTATACTAATTACGGAGACAGATGTCTCGTTCTATTCCTTGTATAAACCATTGATAGCTGCAACCAAGCCTACTCCAAATGTACTTGCAGAGGGGAGGACGAGAGGCGGGTCAATACGAGCGCTTGGCTTTTGGATGCAATAAGATTTCAGGGGAAGCAGTCATTTAACTATAGGTAGTTTAAGGTGCGGCTCTTCCGCTGATCTTCAAAAAGTCTTTTTTCGACACATTAAATATTATTTTATTATATTAAGGGGATTCTTGGGGTGTAGAATAACAAGACGGCTGAGAAACACTGAACGGCATAGTTACAGCATGATGCGCCTGCAAAGATGGTAACTTATAAAGGCGGATATGGTAAGCCAGCTATACGTAGCCGCAGCTTGTACCAGGGCTTCTGGCTTGGGAGCGGAGCTAGGAGTTGTCTGCGTGGAAGAGGCAACCGCTGGCGTCATCATTGTGGTCACGGCGGTTGGCCCCCTGGCTGTGGTTGCAGGTCGAGACGTTAAATTAGCCGTTGGGATTGAAGTCGTTATATTGGCCGTAGGATTTTCGGTAATAATGGTAGTAAAGTCTCCGGGCTTGGTGGCGGTAGCAAAGTCTGTCATGGACGTAGAAAGATTGTCCTCGTCGTCGTTGTTGTTGTCAGGCTCAGGCTCTGGCTCGTATAGATCATCAATGCAGTAGAATCTCCCTTCTTCCAGATCGGGACATTCGACATCGGGATTCAGTTCCTCGAACAGGTCAAGAGAGAGATGGTTGTAGTGGGCAAATGCCTCGCATGTAGCGCCGCCCACGTTTGTAGCAAGGCTGCACCAGGGCGGCAAGCGATCGTCGACCTGGGCGGCGGCTATAAGGGCTGAAGCCAGAGGGACAAGGAGCTGGAAACGCATCGCTGGGAGCTGCAAAGTGCGAGCCGGTAGCTATTTTCTGATAACTACCGTGGGTGTGCAGAGGAGGCTGCTGGATGGACAGAGAGCAACGAGGTTAAAAAAAGGGGGGGTGAGAAGAGAGGCTGCGGCGGGACAAAGGGAGCACAAATGGAACAGCCAGCTAAGAGAGTCTTCTGCTGGCCAGCTCACTGCGAAGGCCAAAGAGCTTTCCCGACAGGCTACATGTGAACGCAAAAGGCATCAACTTATTCCCTGTAGACACTTGGCTAAACCATGCTACAATGGCCGTCCAGAACCCCTATTTTAGCTGCCAATAATCAACTTCTTTGGTTGGATGTTGCGGCTCTAACAAGGACCCACAGGTAGAGTGGGAGTGAGAGGCATCGGACTCTAGCATCGAGCCAGCCAAGGCACAGCCGTTGCATACGGAGTAGAGAAGGTACATAAGTATATGCGGTTAGGAAACATGGGGCGGAATATGGATATCCAAATATTAGCTCGTCATTTTTGGCTAGGGAAAAAAGGGGCTATAAGTATATAATATGTACTGCTGCTACACGAGCAAGAAGAAGAGGGGGAAAAGCCGTCCAAAAAACAGTTGAAAAACATATAAACATTCGTTTCCATCCAGTTTTGCGCCCAGGGTACATCAAGGGGGAAGGACTCGTAAAACAATGAGCACAAGCGTTAGGTTTCAGTAGATAAATGGTCACACTGACGGGCAGAAAATAACACCGAAGAGAGAGGGGGGGAGAGAGAGGTCAAGCAATCATCCCGGCGATGGCGATTGACAATCCCATAAGAATCTCGTATAGTGCCGACTGTCTGTGAGGTGGCTGTGGCGAGCCGTTGGGAGTGCCTCCGCCGTTTGCAAAGGCGGTACAGTAACCCTCCTGGAGGCCGAAGCAGGCCCGCAGCAGGAGGCTGGAGCAAATGGCCTGTCCGTTGCCTGTGGGAGCAGCACCCTGCACGGTGACTCCGGCGCCGTTCCCTCCATTGATAGTGACTCCGTACGCGCCGCCGAGGGAAGCTGTGCAAACCGAGAACTGTGACTGACAACCAGAGTAAGAGCGTACGCACTCTGCCGAGTCATGGAACGTCGTGGGAATATAGACGAAGGGGAAGGGAGCTCCCGGCACCGTCGAGCCCGTGGGCGTCGGGGCAGCCGTGGTTCCTGGTTGCGGGAACATAAAGCCCGATGAGGTCGATGTAGGTGCTGGTGCTGGGGCCGGGCCTGGCGTCTGCGAGGTTGCTGCAGTCGAGGTGGTGCCCATCAGGGTGCCGGTGCATTCTGCGCCGAGGGGGCAGCAGGCGATGTTGTTTGCAGCATCGCGGGAGCAGATCGACTCGGGCTGGCAGCAGGCCTGCGGGCTGCCCAAGAAGGCGCAGGAATTGAAGTGCGACGGGCAGAGATCTTCCCGTTTGACGAGCCGGGCGAGCCTGGGAGTGAAGCCGAAGCCGAAGAGGGAGAGCGAGCTGTCGAGATTGCTGCGGGCTGCGGGGGCATGGAAGGGCGCCGACTCTGCTGCGAGGGCCGGGAGGACAACGAGCAGCAGGAGGTTTGCCTGCGTCAGCATCATGGCTTGTTTATATCCGGCCTAATAATTCATGAGGCCCTTCTGCTGGCTCTTGTAAGCTTGTGGTGTGGCTGCCGCTGCTGCAGGTGTTGTTGTTGTTCTTGTTGTTGTTGTTGTTGTTGTTGTTGTTGTTGTTGTTGTTGTTGTTGTTGTTGTTGTTGTTGTTGTTGTTGTTTACCTGGCTCGCACAAGGGGTGTCTGGGGTTGCGGTCGAGATCGAAAGGTCAGGCCGTCGTCGAGAGGCTGGCCATGCGATGGGAACGGTGGGAGGAGGAAGAGAAGACGAGAGCTGCAGGCGAGCAGAGAAGCGGTCGACAGTCAGCGCAGAGTGACTGACATTCCCGTCCTCGTCCTGCGTCTCGATCCATGTCTGCCCGTTGCTTGCTCGCTGGCCTGGCAACGGCGCCAAGTCAGCGTCTCGACCAGCGAGGAACTGCTGGCGAGGCGACCGAGGATGATGAGGACGGCGATGACAGTGCCGGCGATGGGGGTGATGCCTGTCTGCCGTCCGTCTGCCTGTCCCTGTATCGCTGCTGTGTAGATGTAGATGTAGATGTAGATGTAACTAGATGTAGATGTAGGTGTAGGTGTAGTTAACTAAGTGCAGACACACCCAGTATCAATACTTGCATCATCAACAAGAGGCCGTCGCCGACACGCATGAACGCATTATAAGCATTCAAAGGCCATCCGATGTCAGCCCTTCCGGCCGCCATGCAGGCGCTCTTCCACAGGCCGGATTTTGCATCCATCCGCGCCCGGCAAGTCGTCGCCGTGGCCGTGCCTACAGCAGCCATTGCTGACTCGTCTCATGCATAAAAACTGCTGGAATCGATCACATCCAAGCATTCCATCTGCGGCCTCGCTTGGTCCATCCAGTGCAGGCAGATCCAACGCACTTTTTTGCATTGACTGCCGTTGCTTGGTGGCGGATCTTTCGGCTTCT